CCCCTTTTTTTTAACACCCCCAGACTAGACTTGGTCCTCCAGGTATTTGTTCTTCTGGTCCTCTCTTTCTCCCGGTATACCTGCCACCATTATCATGCAATTGTTTGAGTGGCATGATTGCCTCCCAGCACTGGACATCTGTCGTGTTCGTGGCCAGCCAGCATATTCTGAATGCCCTTCCTATGTCTGAGGAGCTGGCCACGATCTGCGGGCCCTCCCCAAAGGCAGAAGTCAGAACTCGCTCTCCCAGCCTCCCCACCATGCAGGTAGTGGGCAGGGTCAGGACCAAGTCTTTGGCCTTAGGTTCAGAAGAGAGCAACCAGAGGAAACCAGTGCCAGGTTGAAGGGAGTTTTTAGCAAGCGTGGTACTGGAGGCGTTTGGCTTTTCAGGACAGTCGCATAGTGTGTCTGGCATTCTGTCCTCAGTAGCACTGGTGTGAGCATCTGTGTCTGCTCCCGAAAGAGGTGCAGTGGGGAACTCGTCACAGTGATCCCCCGGCGTGGGCTGGGCACCACCACTGGCTGCCGTCCGGGGCACAGGTGGCTCCCCAATGTCCCTGACTACATTGTGTTTCTGTTTCACTCAGCCTGAGGGGTCCTGCTGTTTGCGGTAGGGAGTCCTGAGCCGTATCCTCTCTAACCAGCCCTGAAACCTCCTGAGGAGGAACATTCTGGAGTTTTTTGCCCCTGTTTTCTAGGCTCTAGCAAGGTGCCTGCTGCCTAAGCGAGTACTTCAGAAACACCTACCAAATGAATGAATGGGCAGCCCCACAAAGCCAAGAGCCCCAACAGAAACGCGGAGGAACATTCCTGGGGAAAACATACCCTGAATCTGATGCCCACCTTCCTGTCCTGTCAGACCCTTCCTTCAAGCATTGCTCCCCAAGCTGAAATCAGCCACATTCTTGCTTCCTGCTCAGTAGATAGTGATACTTAGTCTAAGGTCTATACAACCAACCCGAGTCCCCTCCCCCAGGAAGCCTTCCCTGACTGCCCCTGCCCTCATCCACACTCTGTCCTCTGAGCTCATACATCCCTGAGAGTCTGAGTCTCACATGCCTGTTCTTACATCCAGGTTAGAGTTCACCCCTGGAGATCACCCCCAACATTCATGAGGGCTTTCTGGTGACAAGGAACGGGTCCCTCATTTTTGTCCTTGCCTCTGCCTCACAGTGTAAGCAAACACAGGCTGACCACAACAGGAGAAAAGTCAAAGTTCCCCCTTCCCTTTAGGAAATTCCTTTCAGGGCCTCAGGAGCAGCTCACTGGAATGAAGACCAGTGTGGGTGAGGGTGGTATTTGATGGCAATCCCTGCCTTCCCACCCTGCACAAAACCAGGGCCCCGGGGCAACCTCCTTCTGGTCTGAACCCTGCAGAGAGACTCCAATGAGCACCGGCTCTCCTGTCTGTCTAGCACTCCCTCTTCTGATCAGCTTCGTCCTCCTCAAAACTGGAGCCCTCCCTATGCTGGCCAGACCAGAAGCACCTTCTTCCACCAGCCCCATAGGCTCACTGTGCCCCAGACCAGGCCCTGGCTGTCCTGCGCCCTGTTCCAGAGGTCCTCAGACAGGCAGCTCGGTCAGCCCAGCCAGGGTTCTCGGCTGCAGTTTTTCTGACACCTGGTGGCCAAGTTAAGCATTGTTCTTCTCAGTTCCCCTCATTCAATGTCCCTTCTGAGCCCTCAAAAATCACCTAATGACCCTCTCCTTCCTGCTGCAGATGCGGATCCTGAGCCCTGAGAAGGGAAGGGTGTGCCAGTCAAGGAACCAGACCCAGGGGCCATCACTGTAGCCCCAGTCCAGGGATCCCCCTGGTGGCAGAGACGAGAAAAGTGGCAGGAATTTGAGGTTCCGGTTTCAACTGGAGGGAACAAGGACTAGATTTCCAGCCATGCATGAAGCCTCTAGAAAAGGGATGGAAATTCAGAGAACTGGCTTGGGAGCCACTTGCACCAACAGAAGGTTTGCCAAATAATTATTGGTTAAACAAAGAATAATCAGATAGGCTTTACAAATTGTGTGGCCGAAACGTGTGACAAATACTCTGTAGCAACTATCCATCGGCTCGTTTGTAAGTAACCTTATTAAGAGGTATTCATTCACATGTCATAAATTTCACCCTTTTCAAGTGTCCAATTCAGCGGCTTCAGTCACAGAGGGTGAGACTGTCACCACTAGTGAATTCTACACATGTCATCACCCGTGAAAAAACCCCTTGGCCACCAGCAAGCAGTCAGTATCCACATTCCCCTCCCCCAGCCCCCGGAAACCTTTAACCTCCTCTCTGTCTCTACAGATTAGTCTATTCTGGGCATCTCGCATAAATGAACCCTACAACATGGGGCCTTTTGTGACTGGCTTCTTTCACTTAGCACAATGTTTTAGGGTTCATCCATGTAGCATGTGTCGGTTCTTCATTCCTTTTTATCATAGAATACGCCATTTCGTTTACGCATTCAACCAAGCGATGGCCATTTGGGATTCCATCTTTTGGCGATTAGGCATAACAGGGTTCTGAGTATTTGCATACAAGTTTTTGTATAAACGTAGGTTTTCAATTTTCTTGCCTACGTACCTTGGAGTGAATTCGCTGGGTCGTATGGCAACTGGACATTGGACTTCTTTTTAAGCTTATTTATTTTGAGAGAGAGGGAGAGCGTGAGGGGCAGAGAGAGAGAGAGAATCCCAAGCCGGCACCCACTGTCAATGCAGAGCCCGACACAGGGCTCAGTCTCACAAACCAAGAGATCACAACCTCAGCCGAGATCAAGTCTGACACTTAACTGACTGAACCACCCAGGCGCTCCTCAACATTGGACTCTTTGAGGAACTGTCAGACTTCCCACAAAAGCAACTGTACCATTTTTCAGTCCCACCAGCAATGTATAAGAATTCCAATCCCTCCATGTCCTCGCTAACACTTGTTGTTGGCTATTGTTTTCAGTTTAGCCGTCCTATTGGGTGGGAAATAGTATCTCAGTGTGGTTTTGATTTACAGTTTCCCAATGAGTAGTGACATTCGGCATCTTTTTATGTGCTCACTGGCCATTTTTATATAGTGTATGTTCATTTTAAGCATGCAAAATACAAATTGATAAATATGGTGTGATCTCAAGATGGTTCAGAAATGCAGAGGGGGAAAAAATCTTTTGGGAAACATAGCAAAACATCAGTAGTGACTATCTTCGAGTAATGAGATTATGGCTGATTTTTATTTTCTTTTTTAATCCCGTCTACATCTCTCAATGTCCCGCAATGAGTATGAACCACTTTTACGATCTGAGACTAAAGGAAGGAAGGCATGACAGGGCTCTTGGATTGGGATTCCATCTTGACATTCGTCTGGCCGCAAAGGCACTGGGTAGTTGTGTATCATGGCCAACAATGTGACCTGGGATAGCACCTGGCTGAGTCGCCTTTCAGTGGAACCCTCGTGACTTGAGGGAAGAAGACATGCATCAGAGGAAGAGTGGCAGGGGATATTGATGAAGCTAGGGAATGCTTCTTGCTGGAGGCCAGGGAATAGGGCTGCTGCATTTCGCATCATAGATCTGCTGTGGGCCAACCAGGAATGGGAGCGATTTCATCCTGGCCTGCAGATCCATTTCTGCCTATTCTCTGTACTCAAATCTCCCATCAGTCAACAAACATTTCCCAAGACAGCACCGGGTTCTCATTCTCCTCCCTCCCGCCAAGGAAGAGGGTGGGGGAAGGACTGACCATGAGGACGTGTTACATCAGGGGCCCTCACTTGAGTGGGGTGCAGCAGGCTATGGGCTCAGGAAGGCACTCAACAGAGAACATATGGGAAACGCCTAGAATAGAGAACACTCCACCCCAGGGGAAAATAAAGAAAGGGACCCAAACAATTTCCAGAAGAACAATCCCAAAAGGCTAACAGGCACTAGAAGAGATGCTCACACTCATTAGTTATCAGAGAAATGCAAATTAAAACAACAATGCGATGTCACTTTACGCCCATTTGACTTGCAAACATTAAAAAGCTGGGTAACGCCAAGTGTTGGCGGAGCTGCTGGTGGGGGTGCAGATTTTGCAAGCATTCTGGAGCGCAATCTGGCTCTGCTTCGTCACAAAAGCAAAGGCATAAGTGATGACCCCACACTTTTGCTCCTGGGTGTGTGTCCCGGAGACAGGCTCACTTGTGCAAGTGTATGAGCGGACATGCATGTGAATAGTCACCTGCAGGGTGGGAGCAGGGGAAACAGGACAGGTCACATGTGGGCGATGACACCGTGTGGCACCATATGGCAGTCAGAACAAGAGACCAGATGAGCACACAACAACACGAGTGGATGTCTTAAAGCATAGTGCTGAGGGGAAAATGTTAGAAGCAGGATGAAGCATATAACTGACAAAATTTATGTAAATTAAAAGTATAGACACACACACAAAATACTACATATTTTGCAAGAACACACAGAAACACAAATATTCACATTAAACACATTGGAATGTTTGCCTGTGGGAGGAGAGGGGTGGGAGTGGAGATAGAGACAAGGAAGAATAAATTACACAAGAAGATGCTTGCACAGGCGAATAATGGAGACGTAACAGGAAAGAGGAATGATGAAGGTCCTTCTGCACCAGAGGCCAAAGGCTGTAGACCCCTGCCCTGTGGAGGCGCATATATTCACTCCAACGAACTCTTGTATCTGTCCATTTACAAGTTTATTGGCTCCTCTGGCCTTGGGTTATGGCCCAGACTCTAGCAGAAGGAATTGGAGGAGAATGGAGACGGAGGAACCAAGGAGGTCAGAGGTAGAAACACAGGGACCTAGGGTCAGGTGTAGGACAAGGTAAGAGGGTTACCCCTGCCCAGGGCTGGGCAGCAGCTGGGGTGGGGACATGGCCCAAGGGCTCTCGGGGGCACTGGTCTCTCTTGCTTCTACAGAGGCGGGGGGGGGGGGGGGGGGGGGGGGGGGGGGCTATTGTAGCTGCCCGAGTTCAGGTGTGGACCCCAGTCACGTGATGTGGCCAGCCTAGCATACAGATGTCAACACCTTCACCCCAGAGCGGGAAGGCATCGTCCACTTGGTGAAGGCCCTCCGGGCTGGCAGCAGCTCAGCATCATGGCTATGCCACCTCCGTGAGATCTCAGTCCTCACCTCCAGGGACAAGGGAGAGGATGTTAGGAAGGCCCCACTGCTACTTCTGTGCTCCACCCCAATGGGACTGAGGGTACAGGGAGAGACCATGCAGGAGAAACAGACTTGTATTCCTGGGAGAGGAGAAGCCATGGTTGACTCAGTAGCCACTGCTAAGTATTGTCTCTGAAAGATACTACATCCTCCTTCCTGTGGATATTTCTGGCCATTCCCTTTAGCTCTTTTCTCTAACTTTTAGCACTGCCTTTGGGTGGGTCCAGTTAAAGACATTTTCTATGGATGCTTTCTTCAGTTTCTGGGCAAATAACCACACTGTCCTCCATGATTGGCTTAGACCATCCCCTGCTCTGGGATTCACTCCTGCCCTTGCCCACTGAACTGAACTATGGCCCCTGGGAACCTGTCCAGGGGATATAACCTTAAAGGAGAAAAGACTCAGAGCCCCGTCTAAGGAGCTACAGGTGAGGGGACTGAGATTCCTGAAAGAAAAGCAACTGGGTGGGGGTGGGGGGCATGGGAATCTGTATTGTCACATCTCCAAGGGGCTGTTGGAAGGCAGAGGGGGCTGAGAGGCTGTGACCCTCCTGACAGAGCTAAACTTGGGCTGTAGTGAAAGACAAAAGGGAGACAGGTTTCTGTTCAACATAAATGTGGGTTTCCCCACAGGTGCCTAACAACAGAAGAGCTATTGTTAAGTAGTAAGCTCCCCATCACTAGAGGCATGTAACTATCTGGTCTCCAACATGACTTCTTGGGACGGATCCCTTCACAGCTCTCCATGGAAGCCGCTTTCCCAAGTCCCACCAGCCTCAGCTAGGGCTGTGCCTCACCCTTTCAATGTCTGCAGGATCCATGAGCCACCACACAAAGATACTGCAGTCCTGTGTCCGCACCCAGACACCAGATAAGACTGTGTGAGACTCAGAGAGGCTGGGGTAGAAGTAAAGAGTCACAGGGGAGGGAGCCAGTCTGGGACAGAGGTGGCAGGTGGCGGGCGAGCGCTGTTCCACAGCTGCACCCAGGTCTCTGGCAGAACAGAGCCCATAGCAAATCCATGCCACCAGAGGGAGCCCATGACTCTGCCTGAGCACATAGCGGGGCCTGGCTATCCAGGGCACTCAGCTAAATTCTCCCACCTCTCCCACAAAGCAAGTCTGTCCTAAGGGACAGATGCAAGGTGCCTTCTGGGTGGGATGTTTTAATTCTCCTCTCTCTGCCATCTTTCCATATTTCTATATGTGTATCAGCACCATCTATCTATTCATGGGTATGTCTGTCTCTGCTTGGTCTGTTCTTTCCATCCGTCTGTCTCTTCCAGGTATTTCTCTCAGTATCCCCAGCTCTGCTCTCGGTCATCCTCCCTGTTGCTACACCTGACTCTATTTTCCTTGTTCCCTTTATGTCTGCCTCTGACTTTCTCTGTTCTTCAGTCTCTGCTTTCTCTGTCCCTCCCAGAGCTGACTTATTCCCTCCTCCACTCTCCTTTTTGTTGTTTTAGAAACACAGAATTGGGGGATCCTTTTAGACTATCCTGGTCCTAAATGGACAGTATACTTGGCCCAGCCCAGAGAAGGGATGGATAAAGGATGTTTATAGGAATCAATCAGGTTCAGCTTGATCTAGAAGCTCAGGACAGACTAAGCTTCACAGAGGATCACAGGAGTCAGAGTTTGGCTTGAGCTGGGATTTATAGGGCCTGGGAAGAAGAGAGGTGGCCTCAGGTCTGGTGGAAGGGAAAACTCAGTGACTAATGATAGCTGGAGAGTTATATACCTCTTGGTTGAGGAAGCAATACAGGATGGCAACGATGAAGCCCTGTGGAGCCAAATAGAAAGGGCCACATCAGAACTTGGTCTGACCACAAGGTGCCCAGAGTCTTTCTAGTACCTTTTCCTGTGTCCACCCCCAGGCTGTGGCCTGGGCCAGGGCTTTAGGAAAAGGGAAGGCATATGCATTCATCTCTATGTGCCAGGCACATTGTCTCATGTAATCATCAAGCAAGCCTGCCAAGACTATACTGTTGATCCTGTTTCTCTGATTTCCTTCATTTCTCTATCACCCAGTATTGAGCACAGATCCTGGCACATAATAGGTGCTCAATAAGTGTTAGATGCATGGATAGATGGACAGATAAGAGGATAACAGATGCATAGGTGGAGGATGGATGGATGGATGGGTGGATGGGTGGATGGATGGGTGGATGGATGGATGGATGGATGGATAAGTGGATGGATGGATGGATGAGTAGATGGGTAGGTGAATGGATAGATGGATGGACAATGGGTAGTTAGATGGATAAGTGGGTGAGTATAGATGGGTTCAGGGGTAGTTGAATGAACAGAGATGGATGGATGAAAGATGGACAGACAGATAGTTAAATAGATAGAGGAGTGGCTGGAAGAAAGAATAACCAGCCTAGTAGCCTTCAACCTACCATGAAGTCAATCAAACCTGTGGGCAGCACCACCTCCCTCCTGCCCAAGGACTTAGGGGGAAGAGTGCCTGTGGGGGCCCTCACCTGGAAAGAGCCCAGTCCTAATTCCAGGGGGAGGCGGATGCCCAGGCCGGCACTGTCGGGCAGAAAGTTGAAGATGACATAGTGAATTCCAAACAGCGGGATGAGGAGAAGTGTTGACTTAGAGAGACGCCTGCAGGAGAAGACGAGCCCTAGGCACCCAAGGCTGGAATAAGAAACTCCCATGTGCCCCCTGCTCACTCCCACCTCCCATCAGTTCCCCATATGGACTCTATGCACCAGGCACCCCGGATGCCTCGTCCCCAAATACACAGTGCGGTACAATGCAGGGCTTCCTTACTTCAGGACCATGGATCTTGCTGTCCTTGCTGCCGAATGCTCTTGTTTCGATTGACTCCAGTCAACATCTATTCATCTTTCAAAGTCTAGTTCAACGACCACTTCCTCCAGGAAGTCTTCCCTAACCATACCTTACCCCCATCCCCTCATCTAGAAAGGTTCTCCTTCTGCAGACTCCCATAGAAATGGATCCCAGGACTCATCGGCCCCTTTGGCCTGATAACTGGATGTTTGCTTCTCTCCTCCCTACATTGTGATCTCCTAGAAGATGGGGGCCAGATCTGATCTTTTTCTGGAAGCATGGCGACGAGCACGGACCAGGCCAGTGAATGAAACAGAACCACACCAGCTCTCACTCCGGTTATGTCTCCAGCATCCCGTCACGCACACACACGTTACCGGTACTGAGACTGGGGGTGGAGGCTGCCCTGAGCTGGCTCCAGTTTCCTCAGCAGGATGCGGATAATATTGAGGAAAAGCCCAAAGTTCACCTAGAAATAGACGGGCAAGAAGGCAAAAGGCAAGAGTCAGGGGTGCCCCTGCTGGGACGGGGCCTCTTTGGGAATCGGAAACCCCATCCTTGAGACACAGGGATGTGCAGGTGGGTGGGTGTGCGGGTCACTGCTCTAGAGCTTGTATCCTGGAGCCTGGAGGTCCCACGTGGAGCTCAGGGGCTGAGGAGCTCTGGGTCCCCCTCGCTCTCCAGCCCAGGGATGAAGGGTGGGAGGTTGGGCCCGGTCATTCTGCCTCCAGCATCTCCCAGGGTCTACTCTGGCACAAAGCAGGTGTCCCTCACTTTTGATAAAATTGGGGGAAATGCGCACATTCACCAAGGCCACGCTAACTGGCCCCCGATGCCCTGTTTTCAGCACAGGAGCAGGCGGTGGGTTCAGCTACAGCCCTCTTTCCACGCCCCACACCAGCCTCGCTGCAGTAGCAGATGATCTACAATCAGGGCCCCAAATTCACCACAACTCTGAGCTGGAAGGAGCCCAAGCACTGGTGGGGACCAACCCCCTAGTTTTACCAATGGGATATGAGGACCCAAGAGGGCCTCACAGAGAATCTGGCAGAGCCAGGCTGAAGAACCCAGGTATCCAGATTCCCAGCCTGGAGTCATGTTTCCTTCTGTACAGCAACCCCTCGGCGGACCCAGGGAGAATGAAGCAGAGGACGCTGGCTGAACTGACCCCAACAGAGAGGACGATGGGCCCCTTGATGATCCACCAGTAAGGGGAGCTGTCATCCAGGTCCCAGCACCTAGGAAGAGGACAGGCTAAGACTGATTGGGGGGGG